ACTCTGTGACACTAGTTGAACAATTATATGGGAAGGAGAAGGCTGAGGGAGTTGCTGGGCCACTGGTATGCTTTCTCATGTACACTATTCTTCAAATCACATGTATTTAAATATTTGATAAGGAATAATTTAGCTAAATTTTTGGGTTGGTTAGACATAGATACATGGACACATCTGTGCGTTCTTGAAAACAGAATTTTAGATTGTGATTTCTGCTTATAGACTAATGCTGAAGTAGTTGATGTCATATACTACTAATGTTGAAGATACTTGAAAGTAATTTTATCAATTGATGGAAGTAGCTCTCAACCATTTGTATGCTCATTTAAATGTATTGATTCATGAATAACCTTATATGAGACTTGAATTACTGCAATTAGCTCTTTTGGCAGTTATAATCCTGCAAAAATATGACCTTTGTATGAGACTTGTAGTTCTATCATTCATCTCTTCTGGCTGTTATAGTCCTACGAGAGTATTACCTTGTATGAGACTTGAATTACTATCAATTAGCTCTTGTGACTATTATAACTCTACGATATTAGTTTTGAGATTACTCCTTTTCTATGATTCTCATTGCCTGCAGCTCCCATTTTTGGGATGTTTGGATCTCTTGTAGCTCCTTGTATGTAATACTATGTATGTCGATAAGAACGGGCCTAGGGCACTTGTATAGCAAGGAAGAAGGAACTTGGTGTCATATCCCGATGCAACTAGCACTCTTAAGTTGTAATTGGTACATTGACCTAAGGGAAGGGACTCTTACATGTTGAGGTCTTTTGTTCCTTGTTTCTTTTAGGTTAAAGACTTCGTCTACAGATCAAGCACTTGTGTCCATGTGGAAACATAGGTATCTTGAGTTATAATTTTTGAACAGGTTTTACTCCTGGACTGAAATCATTGCATTATTGAGCACAGCAGCGGAGCTAATTCTCCCCTCAAAGTTCCTTAATTGTTTAATCAAATTGAATCCTAAGGACTCTTTCACTTTTGAGAATTATGTCTCAGAATGTTGGAATTTTCCTTGAGTTAATAATATTTATAGTAGAACAGTTTCTTCTGTGGGCAAGCACTCTTTATTTTGCATTATTGTCTTTATTAGATCACAATAAGTGGAACATGGTATCATTTAGATGCAATTATTTTGTGCTGTTTATAATGGCGCCTTTTTTCTTCCTTGTTTGCCCCCATATATATATATATATATATATATATATATATATATATATATATATATATATATATATATATATATATATATATATATATTATTTTTATTTTTATTTTTATTTTTTTTTAATTTTTTTTTTCTTTTGTGGGGGTTTTTTGAAGATATTTAAGAAATAGTACTGTTCATATTTTTGTTTTTGAATGTTAGTGTTTCCTCTTTTCAACTAGCTTAGAAATTGTATTGCTATAAATGATTACAGTTTCATTATTAATACTCTTCTTATGAGTATTGTCTCTCACATTTTCAAACAAGAGTGGAAATATATACTTGATCAAAGAATGTGATGAAATTTGGATGGCCTTACATACATAGATAAACTGATAAACTGTTTTAATTGTGATAAATTGTAAGTCATGAACAGTGTGGTAATAAGGGTTTTTATTATTTCTGTTGAGTTGAACAAAATGAATAATTAGATCTGGAATATCACTTGAGTAGTTGACCTAGCAGTGATACCCTTGGGTCATAACCATGGCATTTTAGTTCTACGAAAATGTGCCTACAAGAAAAGTGTTACGTACTATTTTCCTGATTGTCTGTCACGCCTAAGTGTGGTGTAAACTCATTATCTTCCTTTTTCTTTTTTGGCAATGCCAAAATAACAAAGCCACTTTTGCTTGATTGTCTTGTTATATTCTTGATTCTGATTCCCCTAACCTGTTCAGATCATGCGTTCCAATCACGAGGGCGAATATTTAATCCGGGAGCTAAATTCAATGCAGTGGACATTTAATGATTGTCCACAGGTGAGATTCGTCATCCTTATGTTTCAACTGTTTGGCTTTCTGGACAATCATATCACATTATCATCCACACTCCTGTGAGTCCTGTCATTTTCTTCTAGCTAGTCAAGTAATTAATTTAGGTCCATTTCACTAAAGTTTTAGATTTAATAGGCTGGCTGCCCCTGGGGCCCTAGAACGATTTTGTATGCCACATTAAAGCTTATATTAGCTGCTGCAACTACTTTTTCACACACGCACACGGCCTACATGCACACAGCCTACATGCACACACATACATGAACACGCACGCGCGCTCACATACACACACGCATGTACATGCGTACACGTGTGTACACACTCATATAATTTGATTCAGATTAACTTATTACTCTGTAAATTTAAATTAGTTAATACTGACATGGGAAAGAATGCTCTAGATCATGGCCAGAATTCAGGACTCGGGATATATGACATTTGTGAGATGCTTAATTCATTTTAATTGGATAAGAAGAAAGTAAGACTGCTAGTCTGCTAGCTATGAAATAGACAAGTCTGGCTTAGATTATTCTGTAACAAAACTGCTGGAATCGAGATTTCTTTTTATTCTTCTTACCTATTTTCTCTTTCTCCAAATGATCGTGGATTTTCTGCCCTTAGATTCTTGTTCCAATAGCTGATGGTTCTGAGGAAATGGAGGCTGTCATAATAATTGATGTCTTGCGACGAGCTAAAGCAAAAGTTGTGGTGGCTTCTGTTGGAGAAAAGCTGGAGATATTGGCTTCTCGGAATGTGAAACTAGTGGCAGATATGCATCTTGATGAGGCTGCACAGTCCTCTTATGATCTTATTGTCTTGCCGGTAAGTAGTGCACAATTGAACTTTTTTCTCCTCTCCCTCTCCCCCTCCCCCTCCCCCTCCCCCTCCCGGAGAAAAAAAGATAGAGAGAATTCCAGATTAGCTCGTAATAAAAAGGCTTAAACATTAGATGCCCTACTTGTTGGCAGGGTGGACTTGGAGGCGCCCAGGCATTTGCAGCGTCAGAGAAGTTAGTTGAGATGCTGAAGAAACAAAGGGAATCAAACAAACCCTATGGAGCAATATGTGCATCTCCAGCTCTAGTCTTCGAACCTCATGGCTTGCTTAAGGTAATTCATGCAGATTGCTTTCCAGTACCCCAAAAAGCTATGCTATACTACATGTTGACAAGTTGGACTTGGTGCCGTTCAGGCATTTGATTGATCTAATAATATTAGTGTTTTGGAATTAATACTTAAAAAGATCAAAAAAAATAATAATGTGTAGTTATTTGCTTTACTTCTGTTTATGTAAGGATATTTATGTAATTGTTGTTTGGTATATAGGGCAAGAAGGCAACAGCTTTCCCTGCTATGTGCAATAAGCTGTCAGATCCAAGTGAAATTGAGAACAGGGTTGTGGTCGATGGCAACCTTATTACCAGTAGAGGGCCGGGCACCAGCATTGAGTTTGCACTTGCCATAGTGGAGAAATTTTTCGGTCGCCAGAAAGCAATCGAACTTGCAAAGGTGATGCTGTTTGTGAATCCATAAGTGCCTTGTGTGTGTGTGTATTGTAGTAGTCTGACTTCTCGAGAGCTGTAAATTCTGAGAGATGAGCTTTGCTGTATAATAAGCAATGACCTTGTAACGTTGTTGCGTTGATAAATAAAGCTAGTCAGAATCTTGAGTTTATGGTTTCTGACCAAGTTACTAAGCAAATTTTTATCAGTTCTATATCAGTTCATACATGTCAGATGAGTTTATGGATCTGACTTCTATATACTCCCTTCGTTAATAGTTATGTGCAACTTTGCACATGATTACGGTTACCAAGGCAAAATTTGGATGGCAAAGATTAGAGGGATTTAAGAGAGTTAATTAAAGTGAGTGGAGAGAGAAAGGTGGTCCCCCCCACTTGCAAATAAAGAGGGGAAATCTGATTTTTTTTGGAGGGAGTATGTTTCCCCCCCCCCCAAATTTTCATAAAAATTTTGATTTTGGGAATTTTAAAATTCCCTCTAACTTTTTAAAAAACAAAAACTTAAAATCCAAGTTTTCTGATTTCATTACAGCATTCATGAGGCTTATAAATAGAAGCCTCCATCATTCATGAAGCATTGAATGCTTCTCAATAATTACATACCAAATTTTGTTCAAAAGCTAGCTGAAAATCACCAAAAGTTAGCACTAATTACATACGTTTAGCTCATAAACAACCCAAAAAATTACTCCTAATCTAAAATTAGTGCTAAGCTGAAGTTAGTCATCAAATCATCAAGGCTTAAACTTGAGGGCAGCATCATCTCATCAAAAACCTTCATCAGCCCACCCCCCTTCACCATCTACAACAATCTACAAGTGAAAACAGGAAACAAAAGACATGGCAGCAATAGATGAAGACCCTTTTTTCGACATTGAACTCTTAATTTCAGAGGAAGAAATTGCAGACATTTACTACGATTATGAAGAGCAGCTGCAAGATGCAGATTTTGAAGCATACAATTCAGACAATGAGAATATGCAAGAAGAGGCAGAAATAGAAGACATAACCATTAACAACAATAATCAAACTCAGCAAGATGAAACACAAGCATCATTGTTTGAAGAAGGGACTCACCAACCAAACAGAAAACAGCTAAATATGCATCAAAAGAGAGAGATTGTGGATGCAATGCTATTGAAAATGCAAGATGGTAACCTACCAAGAGGCTACAAGGTAGAATTATCAATCAAGTTCAAGGTTCATAAATCAACAATCACAAGACTGTTCAATGAAATAAAAAGGCAGATGGTAGAAGGGAATTTGATTGATGTCAGGTCCAAAAAGATAGGAAGGACAGGTCCAAAGCCAATGGAATTTTCTGATGAATTCCTACAATCAGTCCCACTTCACTTAAGGCAAACAGAAAGATCATATGCTGCAGCACTCAAAATTTCACATGCTACTCTTCATTATTTGAAGAAAAAGGGGAGAATCAGAACACACACAACAAGCCAGCACTAACATCAGATCACAAGGTGGCAAGAATGAAGTGGGTTTTGTCTCACATAAACCCAATCCAAGGGAATGAGAACCCCACATTTGATGACATGAAGTATTCCATCCACATTGATGAGAAATGGTTTTATCTAAACCCTAAAAAAAGAAGATTTTATCTGCTACCAAGTGAGGAAGATCCCTATATGGCTCAACAATCAAGGAGGTTCAAATTAAAAGCTATGTTCATGGCCATTATAGGAAAGCCTCTGTATGGGACACATGGGGAACTCCTACATGATGGGAAATATGGGATATTCCCATTCACACAACAAGAAAGGGCAAAAAAGTCAAGCAAAAACAGACCAGCTGGCACATTGGTCACAAAAGCACTTCAAAATGTCAACAGAGATGCAATAAGGGACATGCTACTTCACAAAGTCATACCAGCAATAGTGTCAAAATGGCCAGCAAGGTTGCCCAAAAATGTGGTGATTCAATGGGATAATGCAAGGCCACATCAAATACCAAGAGATGAAGAGTTCATTCAAGTAACACAAGCAAATGGATTTAACATTGAGTTTGTGTTCCAACCAGCACAATCACCAGATTTGAATGTGTTAGACTTAGGTCTATTTAGATCTATTCAATCTTTGCAATATCAATCTTTTCCAAAGAATGTAGATGAACTTGTTGAAAAGGTCATTGAGTCTTATAACAATTTCAAACTAGAAGTAAACAAGTACATTTGGGTGACATTACAAAGATGCATGATCAAGATTCTAAAGGCAGAAGGAGGGAACAAGTATAAAATCCCACATATGAACAAGAAAAAGCTTGAGAATTTAGGCATTCTCCCAAATCAGATTGAAGTAGAAAGGAGTATAGTGGTGGAAGCTGTGGAATACCTGAACACAATGTTCAGGCCAGCACCCCAGGGAAATCATGAAGCAGAAACAGAAGACATGGAGGTAGATGCAGACTAATTACAAAGACACACAGCAAACAACCACACACTGCCACACATAACCACTTAGTAGTGAACAATGATATGTTAAATTTCACTTTTGTTTAGTTATTTTTGTGTACCAATGAATAGGTGGTTAGGTGTATTTTGTATGGTAGAGTATTGAAACACACATGAAAGGCAGTGGTGGTTTAGTTCTAGTGCATTTGTAAGAGGCTTTTTGTAGCCTTTTTATCAAGTAAGTTGAAGTACTTAATCACATGAATCCATCAGGAGATCAATTTTTTTGTACACACAACCTTTCAAACATGGTTACCTCAACATCAATCACAATATAGTGATTGGTGGAGCTATACCATTGTTCAAATAGTAATTCATAGGAGTCCCTTCATCATTTGGATTGAACACACAACACAAATAGTATAGAGCCAATGGGGACTGTTAAACAATAACAAAAAGGGGTATGTGCAGGGAACTCCATTGGAAATTGTTCTCTACACAATGATCATTGAGAACATTTTTCACACAACAACCCAAACACCCAAATCAAGAAACCATCATAAAGGATCATCATTCAACAACCAAATTCCCATATGCCATATGCCATGATAACATCAACCATATCCAACATAATATCCAACTCTTAAAATGCATCATTATCCAACTCTTAAAATGCATCAATAGCCAACATAATATCCAACAGTAATAGGATAGAAGCACTAAAACCATATCCAACATAATATCCAACATAAAAAGGACAGAAAGCACCAAACCCATATCCATCATAATATCCAACATAAAAAGGACAGAACCAACAAACCCATATCCAACATAATATCCAACTCTTAAAATGCATCATTATCCAACTCTTAAAATGCATCAATAGCCAACATAATATCCAACAGTAATAGGATAGAAGCACTAAAACCATATCCAACATAAAAAGGACAGAAGCACCAAACCCATATCCATCATAATATCCAACATAAAAAGGACAGAACCAACAAACCCATATCCATCATAATATCCAACATAAACAGGACATAAGCACCAAAAACATATCCATCAAAAAATCCAACAATAACAGGACAGGAAAAGCAACACCATGTCCATCAAAATTTCCAAATATTAAAGGACAAAATCACAAACACCACATACAACATCACAGCACAACAAAGCCACCACAACATAATAAAATTCGGAGTATATGTGCATAACACAACCACCATAAACAAACCATGTCAGAAGCATACACAATCAACTTAAAAATGGGACTCAATAACAAAAATTAAATAAGTTAGGGTTAGGAAGCGTTACGAGTGTAGCTACTCAGAGGGTTGAACCGTAGGGTTCATCCGCCTCACATAGCACGTCACAACAGGAACAGAACAAGAAGGCACTTCTGGTTTCTTGGCTGGAGGTTCCTCATCAGGCTCCTCATCAGAAGACAGCACAATGAACTCATAGTCAGGGAGGCCACGCATCCTTCTCAGGGCAACACGCGCGGCTTTCCTGGTGGCCTTAACTCGAGGGGGTGGCCTTTCCCTCTTTGATCTAGGCTTAGTGGGCACAACAGCACTGCCCTCACCTTGCTCAGCAGCCAGATCTACAGCCATCTCTGAGAAATCAAGCGATTTACGACGGGACTCACTAACACCCTCCTCTTTCTTCGCTTTCTCTTCCTCATTGAGGCTTTTGAGGAATTGACCAAGGGCTCTGTAAGTGTACAGAGAGCAGTACGCACCGGTCTCAGTAGACTCGTAAAATTCACGAGGAAAAGAAGATCCAACCTCAAAGCAGTGCATGAAATTGAGGATCAAATTCTCCTCTCCCTTGTCATCCGTAGCCATATAAGAATCCTTAAGAGGATCTAAGTTCAACATTTTTAAGGAGGGACTTTGATTGAGAAAGAAACGAGAAGAGGAGAGTAGATCTGGAGTGAAAAATAGAGAAAATCGGAAGAATAGAGGAGAGAGAAAAACCCAGAAGATGAACTAGGGTTCATCTTATGAACTCTCCAGAAGATATAGGGAGAACGAAACATCACAATTAATTTGGGTAGTTGGGAAGTTGTGTGAATGAAGAGAGAGGAGTGGAATTGGAAGATAAAAGGAGGGAACAATTAGATTAGGTGAATCTGATTAGTTTAGGTTAATTTAGTTTAGGATATTATAATGGTATTGATTAAAAAATAAAACAATTAAAATTAAGGGTAAAATTGTAATTTTGCCCCTTTTTTTTTACTAAAAATAGAAAGAAAATAGAAAGTTGCACATAACCCCGAGCGGACAAAAATGGCAAAAGTTGCACATAACTATTAACGGAGGTAGTATATACAAGCAGCTTTTTTTTTCCTAAATCCTAAAAACAATTGAAAATTATTGTTTTTTTTTGTTATTTTAGATTTTAACACCTCACAAAAACACGAAAATTGATTTTAACACCCCCATAAAAAAAAATTGATTTTAACACTAGATAAATTTCCAAAAAATTGGTATTACCACCACTTAACGGTTTCCATCCAAAAATTCTGTTAAGTGTGGCCCACATTAACACGTGTCAGCATTTTATTTGTTAAAAAAAAGAGAAATTAAAAAAAAATAAAAATAAAAACCTAAAACTACCCAGCCACCACCATAGCACCACCCCTGCGCCACCGCCGCCTTCCCCCCAACTCACCACAACCCTCCTCGAAACCACCACCCCCAACCCACCTGAACACTCCCCCTCCCGTTCCCGCAACCGTAACGCCCCAAAAACCACCAAACCCAAAACCCCCGTCCCCTCTAAACGGCCACGAATCCGGCCTTAAAAGGCTAAAATCGGTCGGTTAAGGCCACTAATCCCTAAAACCGGCCAATTTCGGCCATTTTTGGCCAGATTCGTGGTCGTTTTGGGGAACAAGGGTTTTGAGTTTGGTGGTTTTTGGGGGCGATACGGTTGCGGGAAAGGGAGAGGGAGGGTTCAGGTGGGTTGGGGGTGGTAGTGCGACACGGGTGGTGGTTTCGTGGAGGGATGTGGTGAGTTGGGGGGAAGCCGGCGGTGGCGCGGGGGTGGTGCTGTGGTGGTGGCTGGGTAGTTTTAGGTTTTTATTCTTTTTCTTTTTTTTATTATTTTTTTTTCTTTTTTTTTATTTTTTTGGCCAATAATAACACGACACGTGGCTTATGGACCCACTTAACAGATTCCTAAACAGAATCAGTTAAGTGGTGGTAATATCAAATTTTTAGAAATTTATCTTGTGTTAAAATCCATTTTTTTTATGGGGGTGTTAACATCAATTTTTGCGTTTTTGTGAGGTGTTAAAATCTAAAATTTCCTTTTATTTTTATTTTTATCGGTTCTATATATATAGTCAGAATCTCTTGTTTTATTTTCATCTGACATGTTTGAAAATTCAATTGTTTTTTTAATAAGTCTCTTGTTTTTTTGCAGAAGTGAAATTAATTTTACTAAATTGAAATTATTTTTGCTAAACTTAGATTATTTTTACTGAAATGAAATTACTTTTACTGAATTAAAAATGTTTGTTGAACTGAAATTATTTAACTAATTTTTAATTATATTTCTTCTTTAATTATATTGAATTTTATTGAATTGAATTTATTTTTATTGAACTAAAATTATTTCTACTTAGTATTATTTTTGTTAGGTGAAGTGAACAAAGCTTTACTCTACTTATTTTTAAAACATCAATATATAAGAAAACCATAATATTGCTATATTATTACTAATCACTTAATCAGCCGACCTTTGTTTCAAAAAAAAAAAAAAAAAAATATCAGCTGACCTAGTTCTTGGCATTTAATGTAATAAAAATCAAGCATTGGAGCTAACCATGTAACAAACATGGCTTGAACTAGAAAACATTTTGGTTTGACATTTAGGCAAAACAATTTACTCAATCAAAACTGAAGATCAACAATAGCATAAAAATATATTCCAATCCAAAAAATTGGCACCCCAAATCATCATATAATCAATTTAATTTGATCAGCTCTAAAATTAGACCGTGTGTTCACATTACTCATAAGTCGTAATAATCGTAACTTCCAACTCTTAAGCTCCAACCAAAACGCTTGTTCACGTTACTCATAAGTCGTAAGACTCGTAACTTCCAACATTTAAGCTTCAAGCCTTCAACCATGCATAATCATTTATATTCACCCGGATGCAGATAAGTACACCAAAAGGTGACTTTTTTTTTTTTTTGAGAGAAACCAAAAGGTGACTTTAAAAAAAAAAAAAATACTCATTTTAAGATTTAAAAATTAACAAAAAAAAAAATACTAAATAATACATTTAGATACACCTTATCAAATTTTCCTTTTGAATAAGGTCATTTATGTATACAAAATTTTCACCCAACCCCGCCCTACCAAAGAAGTCAAAAATTCCTTTGTGAAAATATTTATGTTAGTCTATACTCTATTTGAATAAAACGAATTAATTCAAGAATCAACAATTCAACACAGCAACACAGTACGACTTGCTCTTTCTACGTGTTAGAAAAGTCAATTTCGTATTCATTTATCCAAACTTCACTTAGTTGCCGAGAGTCCATAAATTCATACAACCACGTTTTCTCTCTCCTCTTCTTCAACATTTTTTCTCATACACTTTTTTTTTTTATTATTATTATTTTTTCTCAACTTAATTATTGAGTATTTGTTTTTTTTTTAATTATTAATTATTGATCAAATTCTGGGTTTTTCCAACCGAGAATTGCTGTACCATTTAGTACATTTTTTTTTTATCTTCAATAATCTCTCAATAATTTTCTGGTTTGTGCAAATTTTGTTTCTCTCTCCTACAAATCTAAGGTAAGATTTTTGGTTTTCTTATGCAGATTTTGTCTTTAATCATCATTTATTTTTGTGGGGCTTAATTATATTTTTCATTATTTGACTTGGGTATTAGGAGTCTTGTATAAATATTTATGCTTTAATATTTATGTATAAATATTTTTGCTTTAAATTGCTGCTGTTAAACTGGGTAATTCTTTATACTTGAATTTTC